GCGTGGGTGGGGGCAGGTGGCGCCTCTCACCGAGGTGGGGGCTGGCTGCCCCTCCCTGTCACCAGCTCGGCTTCACTCATGCCCTGCCCCTCCGAGCGCTGGTTCTATGCACAGTGGAGCCCCTGAGCCATGTCCAAGCCCTGCTAGGAGCCCATCCAGATGCTTCAGGAACTGGGGACCACTGTGGTCCCCAGTGTCACTTCCCAGATGCAGCCCTGTTCTCAGCCTGACTCTCCCAAGCCAATAAGCACTGCCTAAGAGTCTGCACTACAAGCCAGGAGCTGATGTCCAAACTGAAGGCGAAGACTGGAGCTTCTCCAAGAACAGAAGCTGTCTGCCCTTCCTCATGTCCCTTTTCTATCATCCAGGTGATGAGCTGCCCCAGGGGGGTCCTCTGCACCCCAGGGGGCAGAATTGCTAAGTTGACTTAGTTAAGCTTCTGAACGTCTCAAGTTGACATGGTCGGTCATCCACTACATACATCATGCTGAGGGCAGAGGGTGACAGCATTAGTCCCCCCAGGACCCTGGTGACTCGGGGACCAAGGTCGGGGTGGTGCCCGCAGCACGCCCACCTCCTGTGAGCCTGGGCCCCCTCATGCTGACTGCAAGCCTCTCTGAGACAGTCCTCTCCCTAACGCCTTGCTGCACACCAACCTTCCACCAGGGTCAGCTCTGCCCTACAGATTCCGAGCGCCCCCAACAGACACTCACCCCCGGCCTGGTAAGGGCAGAGCCCAGCTCCCCAGATACTCCAGTACAAAGGGACTTGAGCCCATAACATCCTGAGTTCAGCCCTTCCTGCTTTTTCTGCCTGTGAATTATGAAGATCGACTATTATGGGTGCTGTTGTCTGACATGGGCCATGGCCTGCATCTTCACAGCACCTCTGGCAACAGGGCTGTGGGACCCCGCTGTCCCATGGGACACTCGCCCCTCACACTTCGCCCCATCGAGCTCTTCCTGCCTTCACCAGCATCCACACCCAGGCTCCGTGGAGGTCCAGAGGAACGCCAGATCTGCTGGAGGGGACGTGGCTCAGGGAGGAAGAAGCCATGGGCAGTGGGAGGGGGTACAGTGTGTGCATAGCCCAAGAGACAAGCAGGGAGGGAGAAGGAGCAGTCGTGTGCCAAGTTCTGGACAGGCGCTCACAAACACAGGGACGAGGCCCCATACACAGTGATGGGAGCCTCACACATGGGGATGGGGATTCACACACAGGGACAGGGGTCTCACACACAGAGACAGCCCCTGGCAGCCATGCTCTTCGTTGTGTGAGGACTCCCAGGAGGCAGGCAACACAGGTGAGCGCCATCTTGTTCCCTGCAGGACTCAGTTGAGGCCCCATGTCCAGCAAAGACCTTCCGCTGACCCTTCCCCAGCCCCAAGGAGCCCTGACAGGCCACATTCGCCTGGTGAAGTCCGGGTGCCTATGTTGCCGAGGCTCCGTTGGTGACAGCCTGGCCCCAGGCTGGGCTGCCGGGAGGCGGTGGAGACTTCAGGATGTGGGGTCTAAGGTATTGGGTGCCCTGGAGGGTTTAGGGGCCATCTGCTCCTCTCTCTTGCTTCCAGTGACATGGCAGGCAGCTCTGCTCCTGCAGTGCCAGGACCAGTCCATGTGTGCACAAGTGTGTCACAACCCCACAGGTGTGTGCCATTCCTGAGACGAGCACCCCCGGGGGCGCAGGTGGACACAGGCTCACCCTGCAGCTGCCAGTGGGGCGTCACCAAAGCCCAGGTGGGGACGGGCACAGCACCACTGCCTCAGAGCCTAATGTCCCCCATCTACGCGGCTGAGAGGCTCGAGAAGGCTGGGGCCTTGAAACGTGTCACTGTGACGGGGAGGTGATGGGTTCTGACTCTGCTTTTTAATATGTTTATTTACACTTACATAATTTTGGCTTGAAATGCTGTATGTCCCCACTGCTTAGCAACACCTGTGACTCCATAGCTTGTTCCAGCTCACAGTGGCCTCCTTCCAGCACAGGCGGCTGCTTGGGGTCCAGAGGCCAGGCAGAACGGGGGCAGGGGATTGAGGCGATGGGCACTGCCAGAAGACGCCCTCTGTTGGGCAATTCTGACCCCATTTCTACTTTAGAAGTGAAACCCAGCCCAAGGCATGCCCTACGGTCACCCCCTTCTATTCTTGCAGGACAGCACATGCCACCCCTAACAGGGACAGTGCTGACACGCGCCCACCTGCCCACCGTGCCCAGCTGCCTGTGCTCCCAGGACCCCCACTCAGCCCTTTTCCCCGTGCTTGGGACCAGCAGAGCTGCAGGGGCCCCGGGTGCCTCCATCCTCCATACCCACAGTGACCCAGCAGCCCCAGGAGGTCCAGCTTGGGCTGGGAGGCTCCGCCAAATCCACAGAAGAGAGGGTTAGGAGGCGGATCTATGTGAACACGCGGCTTGAGCACCATTAATTGTTGTCAATGCACTTTGCGGCTGCATTCATCTCCTGGTAAGAGAACAAAACTGTCACAATGGTGACAACGTTATTCAACATCAGTGCAATTACCAAACTAAAAATAGGACAAAAGGGGGAGACTTTCCCTGGGGAGCTGAGCTCTGTTACCCCCCTTGTGGTGTGGCTGGGACTGTCCACCCCCAGGATGGAGTGAGGAGGGGAGGAAGTCATGCTGCTCTCCTGCGGTAGGAAGCATCCTGGGGGTTGTGTCCAATCCTCCTCTAGCTGGTGCGCCTGGTGCTTGGTCAGCATCTCCCCACCTTACAGATACAAGGCCCACAGCCCAACCCCGCGGACCACATACACCCAGTTGCCTGCTGCGAGACTCCCACAGCCAGCAGTGCCCTCTCCAGGGACAGCCACTCTCCTAGGGGCACCCGGCATCCTCTTCCCCGTCCCATCGGCCTCCCTGAGCTGCAGGTTCCCGGGCCTCCGCAGCGCCCCAACGCCATGACCTTGGCTCTGCCCTTTAGGTAGACAGCTACGACAGGAACTGAGTAGAGAGGGGCCGGGCCGTGCAGTCAGGGCAGAAAATGAGACGTCAGAACTGTGGCTGGGGCGAACTGGGAGGGAACCGGGCCTGCAGCCCCCTGGGACAGGCAGAGCTGGAGACAGCACTGCCTGTCCCTGAGCCTGGATAAGGCGTCAGACACACAGTGGGGCCAGGACCCAGGCCCGATCCCCCCCCTCTGCTCTGTCAGGAGTTATGGATGAGCGGAAGTTAGTAACACCCCGTACACCCTTGCCCCAAGATGCTTCCCTATCAGGTCAGTGTGAGCTACTCGGCTCTACTCCCGACAGGTCAGCCTCAGTGCGGCCCGGCATGGCCTGAGATGTGGTCATTTTCCTGTATGAAACCCCACAGGGCCGGGGTGGTGACCCTCTCAGGCCCCCTCCTGTCGCTCAGTACTTTCTCTCAATAAACCTTTCCCACTCTTAACTGCCTTTGCCCTGGTATCCATTCTTCCGTTACTTGGAGACACGAGCTCCTCACATCTGACCTCTGATGGGGAGGAGTCACCTTCCTGTGACCTTCACCTCTGTAACCTTGTCTTCGCTCCCGGTGGACCTCTCCCTGCCACGAAAAGTTCACCCACTCCCGCCAGGTCCCCAGAGCTCCCTCCAGTCACAACCATGGAGGGAAATGCTGGGTGCTTCTCTTCCACCAACAAGAGCTCCCCAGGTACAGGCAGCCCTCCTGAGAGGCCCTCCCTCCACAAGATGCCTGCACTCCAGACGTTCCCCAAGCTGTGGTTTTAAAATCCTTCTTCAACAACAGCTCCACCAGTCACACGGTAGCAGGACCCTGAGCTGCTCTGATGGCTTTCAGACGGAGGTGAGGGACACAGGTTTTTGAAGTCAGATGTATGTGTTTAAAAGCAGGTCTGCAACTGCCGTGTGGCTGCAGGAAAGCCCTCAGCTCTCACCCTGAGCCTTGGTTTCCTCATTACAACGTGGAGAAAGGGGAGTTTGGACCTCATGGGATCCTGAGGAGGGTCCCAAGAGTTGTGGACGCAACCTGTGGGGTGTGTGGTGTAAATGCAAATGGCTACCATTCACCGCCAAGAGAGACAGCACCAAATCGAAGCTGACCGTATGGATAGAAAGCCTTCGGGAGGTGGAGCACCCTACTTCCCCGGTTACAAGGAGTTTCCTGATTCCCTTCCCTCAGCCTGTGCGCTGTGTCCTGTTGCCTGCCACCTCCACCCTCTGGAAAGGAGGCAGAGAATGGAGACAGAACAGCCTCATGGCCAGGAGGGAGGTGGCCCTCGCCCTGCCTCGGCTGTATGCAGGGAGCTGAGTCAGGCCTGCTTGCTCAGGAGGTGACTGGCTTCCAAGGGCTGGAGCCCAGCAGGGTCAGGCAGCCCTGGAGGTCACTCTGGGACCCAGTGAAGCCATCTGCCAGGATCCTGGCCTGAGGGGACCAGCATCTCCTCCAAAACACCATGGCTGGCCCCCTGCTCCACCCTCAGCCTCCTACCAGAAGCCTGCATTTTGTTTCCTGTAGAATTTTTAGAAGCACAGAACCTTTTTGGAACTTTGCTTTTCCCATCACCCCCACTTTTCTCCATATGGAATGAGTCCCACTCAGGCAGGGTTGAAATGAGGGGCCGGCAGGGAGACCTGCGTGTAAACACGGCACACAGCAAGGCCCGAGACCACTGCCGTGACCAAGTTTCCGCAGCAGCCGGCGCACACGTGATCGGCCGTGGGGTCTGATGGTGTCTCACAAGGAAGAGCAGGGGCAAGGCCAACGTGGCCGCCTGACTCAAGCAGCAACAGGCCTGGCCTCGTTGCTGTTCACAGCTGCACACCACAGCCACCCAAGACGCAGAGAACCCCAGGAGGGAGACTAAGCTCGGAGCCTTCGCTGAACCTCTGTGTGCTGGGGGCTGCCACTGTGCGGGCTCCTGCTCAGCCCTGCTCTGAGGTTTCTGCACAAAGGCAGCTCTAGCGCCTACCGGCTGGTTGCACTACTCTGGTTTTGGTGACGGCAGAATACACCTTAAAAGGGTAAAGAACAAACACCTGAACGTGTCGCAAATATTTTAAAAATTCCCTGTCCCCTTCCGCTCCCCAGCTCCCCAGCGACACAACACAGCGCTGCCAACACCCTACCCCAAAGCCACTCAGGAAGTCACCGCCGGACCCGCAGAGGGGGCGCAGACACCACAGACTGCTGGCTGTGCCTGGGCCGCCACCCACGTCCCAGCCCTTTGTGGAGGCCAGGCTTAGGCCACCGCTGGGGAGGAACTGGAGTGTCCCAGGCGGCTCTCAACGATGTCCCACGGCCCGAGGACGCAGCCCTGACTGGCGTCTGTCCTTGGCAGACACCTTCCAGCCTCCGACTTGTTCCCGGGGCCAGGAGCTCTTCACCAACGGGGGGATTTGGAAAGCAGCAACTGTGGCTCAGTGGAGTTCAGCGTTCGTCACCTACATCCAGGGCCCCACAACCTGCATGTGGGATTTGAGTGCAGACTGACACACAGTGACCCAGGCCACCGCTGCGCTGTCCTGGTCCGCGCGGCCATCACAGCCTGCTGGACCTTCTCCTCGCGTCCCTCTCTGGCCCTCCTCCGGTCACCAGCGGGAACGGACTCCTCAGCCTCGGCCTCCCCATCATCTCTGCAGTGCCTGCTCTGGAGTTAGGAGCTCACCAGTGTGTAGATCATGCTGATGAGACAGAAAGGGAAAGAGCGTTAGCAGGAGCCCGAGCCGGTGCTCAGGGGCTCACAAAGGCCAGACGCAAGGCACCTCCCTCAGTCCTTCCTGGACGCCCTACTTCCCATACCCAAAGTGGGCACTGCTGCAGTGCACGCCATGGCCTCGGGAGAGGCGACTGCTCCAAGTGTCCACACCTACTCTGTCATTTCCACTCCCAGTCCTCACCTGCTGCAGCACAGCAGGGGCTCATGCCAGGGCCGTGCCAGGGCCCTGGTGAGGCTGAGTGGCCTGTGGGGTGGGCACGTGGGTGAGGCTCATCACAGAGCCCTGTGATGTGGACACGACCTGCAAGAGCCAAGTGACTTCCCAGGGGCACTGCCCTAGCCCACTGTGTTAAGGACTTGGGTGTGAGGATCAGGGACCCCGGCAGGGCCCTGCACAGCCCAGAAGGGACAGACGCCTGGGCTCTTAGGTGGCCTCCGATCTACAGTGGCCACTGAGACTCCACAGGGCAAAAGCCCAGGGCCGTTCCACAGCGAGGCAGGGTCTGAGCTCGTGGTTCACCCCACAGCTGTGACCCCAGGGCAGCAGCCAGAGTCCCACCCCAGAGCCGGCCCTTGGGCCTCCGGGAGGCTGCGCTTTGTGCGCCATTCCCTTCCGTCCACTCTTCTTTAATGTTTATCGAGGGCCTCCTCTAGGCCCCGCCCCTGTCTTAGAGACACCGAGGTGGCAATGTGGAGCCCATCCAGGGCTGCCTGGGGCCTGCTGTGTGCTGGGCTCAGAGGCGCAGGCGGAGCAAGCACAGGAGTTTTATGCCACAGGGACGAGGAAACCGTGAATGACAAAACTACAGACAGAGAGAAATAACCCTGAGGAGAGGAGGCCCACGCTGTGGACTCCGGTTCCGACCCTGCCCTGCCTGTCCTCTGCTGAGCTCCCGGGGCTGGGCCGGAGCTCTGCTCAGAGCTCTTTGGACTGGAAGAGTGGCGCTCCCTGCCCCCACTGTTCCTTCCCCGTGCTGGACCCAGGACCAGGGCTTCGGGGGCCACCAAGGGGTCAGGAACCCAGCCCCCCAGGCCCCGTGACCCATCGGGTCCTTTCCAATTTTGTTCTGTAATTAACAGGGGTAATGTGAAGACAGTGCCAAGCCAGGCGACAGATGAGAGGGCAGACACAGACACACAGCCAGAACATCACACCGTCCAGGACAGGAGCCCCCACACCCCACCCTCCATCACACACCCCTGCCATTCTATCTGGAGAGTCCAGACCTGGAGCCAGAGACTTGGGGCTCACTGGGTGTCAGAAATCCCAGTGGCCCAGACAGCCTGGCCCCAGGCAACCAAAGAGGAAGCATGCTGGGGCAGCCCGAGACAGGGTGCAGACTCTGAAAGGAGCCACACTCAGGGGCTACAGGCTGCAGATACCAGGGACGGAGGGAGCAGAACCCCACCCTGAGGCCGGCCTCGCCTGGGCACCATGCGTTCTCAGGGGCCTCCATAAAACCCGGGCACCCACCGTCATGACTTGGGGGCCTGGCACCCAGGACTGCATGTTGAAAACATTCCCTTGCCACCCCCGCCCCCTCCCACTGACCAAGAGCCCTCCCGAGACCCTGGGGACATCCGGTGTTCTGGGTGCAGCCCCGGGGTCAAACTTCAGGGCCCTTGCAGCTGTGACGCTGTCAGCTGGCCTTAGGGAGGGGGACCTGCCTTCTTAGACCTGTCTCCTCGGGTGTCACACGGGGTTACAGACAGCATCTACCTCATGATCCAGGGACATCTGGAGAGGCCTAGACTCAGGGACCAGCTGGTGGACAATGCAGTCACTTCCCCCTGCCACAGCCCCAACCCAGCCCCGAGGTGACCCTGGTCTCATGTGCCCTCCTTCCTCTGCCCAGTGCTGTTACTCACAGCTCTGGGATGTTGAAGGGGTGGCGGGACCAGAAGGTGACAGGGAGAGGCTGCCCTCCAATGGCTGCGAACTGAGCTGTGACAGCTAGGTGCAGCTGCACAGCCGCTGGTCTGGCTCAGCCCAGCGGCCTCAGGTAATATTAGGGGGTGCTGAGCACAGGCAACTGACACCTGATGCACCACCGCGAAGCTGCTGGGAAGCAGAGGTGGTGCCACCTGCAGCCCACCCTGAACCGCCGGGGGACACCGGAAGGATGCATTTGACAGCGTGGCCCTGAGGACGTGCTCCAGACAGGGATGTCTGCCTCACGTTCCTCCTTTTGGAAGCTGCAACCCCAGCCCTGCTCAGTGAGTGCGACATCCCCTGCCTGTGGCAGCCGCTCACCAGTACAGGTAGTAGAAGAAGGAGAGCAGGTAGAAGGCCAGCTTGCACCAGGCCTCCTTCTGGCAGTAGCTCAAGGTGTCTGCGTTCATAACCACCGGCGGGTCATAGGCCAGTTCCGAGCTGTCGGCCGGGCAATGGAAGTACCTGTAGGGACAGAGGACATGCATCCGACACTATGCAGGCCAGGCCATCCATGCCACACAGCCTGGTCCCCCTCACGCCCAGGGTGCAGTGGGCTCCACTCTAGGGGCTCTGCACCCTCCCTGCAGCCACAGGTTCTCAGGTCAGAGCCATGGGCATCCTGGTGATTTTACCCTATGCGGCAATGCTGGGAAAGTGGAGAAGTACGTCCCTGGAGTCCTCCGGTGTCCCGGGAGGTGCCAGGATGACTCCTTCCTGTCCAGTGTCAGTGTGGCAGAGGCCAGGAGCCTCACGGCCATGATGTCATTGCACCCGCACTCTACCTGAGGTTGGTGACTTTGGATTAGGCCTCATCCTCTGCCCAGCCCTTGTGTGAATTCCTAAGCCCACAGGAGCACGGCATGCATTTCAGGTGCCTCTCTTCCTGGACAGAAGGACCCAGAACCACAGAGACCCAGGCCCTGAACAGGATAGGATAGAGAAGAGGCCATGGTCACATCGTCCTCACCAGCACTGAGCCAGGCAGGACAGCCACGGGAGCCTGGTGTGGTGGCTGTGGCCCCGAGGAGCCATACGGCACCCTGGACGGGTCACTGCCCAGGGCCTCGGCCTCCTGCAGTGGCCCCACGTGGTGAGCAGTTCCTCTACCACTGCTCCGCCACAGCTGGCCTAAGAACAGCAGGCCCAGCCCACTGCGGGCGCAGCCTCCAGGCAGCAAAGTGAACCTTTCCTCTCCTCAAGCTGACACTGCAGGCACTTTGTCACAGCAGCAGAAAGCTGAGGACTCACTCAGTGCGGAGCTCTACAGAGCCAAGTCACACTGCTCCCTCCGTACCTTGGGCTTCTTCTGCCCTCTGTGTTCGGTCAGTCGATCCTCCACCTCCTGCGCTGGTGCAGGCTCCCCGCCCATCACTCCTGCACCCAAGGCCATCTCGTGACCCACCATCCCCACCTGCACTGCCTGGGCCAGGCAGCCCTCTCCCCCACACCTGGAGTCCACCATGACCCCAGGGTCCACGCCTCAAGTCAGCTGTAGTGACATCACTTTCCTCCTCCACCCCTCCCATAGCGTCCCATTCCAGAGCTCATTAATTCCAGCTCCTCATAGACAGACGCTTTAGTCCTGAGACCCCACCATGTCTGCCGCTGTCTTCTCCCCTCTCCCAGGCCCGAACCCACGGCCCTGCATATGCGCGGCACCGTGTACACTGCGCCTCCTTCCCTCGGCCTCGCACACGCTGGCGTCCGGCTGCATGTTACAGACACGCGTGCGCACCTCCAGGTCTGCATAGCCCAGCGTCTGCTCCTTCCCTGAGCTTCCCCACTCTGTCTGGAGCCCATCTCCCTGGCCTCGAGGGTGCAGCTCGGGGCGAAGGGTTACATTTGCACTCAGCACTTATCTTGGGTCCCCACCGCCCAGCAAGCAGTGCGGTTTCCACGTCTCAGAGCGAGGCCCCAGATGTGACTAGACGAAGGCTTTGCTCGTGGTAACATAACAAGGACAGAAGGGTTTGGGGCCTGGAGCTCGGGCCCGAGGGGACCAGGGTGGGTGATCTGTACCTTCCAGCCTACCGCTTTGGGCTCCCCCACCCACCTCCATACCACCCGGAGACAAAACTTTACAAGCCCACGCTCCTGGTCCGGCACGTGGTCAGAGCAGGAAATAGAGACTTGAAATCAGAACGTCCCAGAAAACCCAGCCCATCTGGTAAGCGCCTTTTTAAAATTAAAATATAACTTATGGGCCATAAGGTTCGCCCTTCCAAAGTACACAACTTGGTGGGCATTCGTACATTTACAGAGTCATGCAACCACCATGCCACCCAAAGCCAGAACACTCTGCCACCCAGAAGAAAACCCGTGCCCCTTAGCAGACGCACACTCTGCCCCCTCCCAGACCTCCCTATCCCTGGATTTGCCTGTTTTGCATGTCTCTCACACACGGAATGACGCAGTCCGTGGCCTTCGTGTCTGGCTTCTTTCAACCTGCACTGTCTTTAAGGTTCAGCCATGTGCGGCATGAATCCATCCTTCATTCCTTTTCATGGCCAAATAATATTCCACTGTGTGGAGACACTCTTACCCGTCACCCGTCCATGTGCAGATGGGCACCGGGAAAGCACTGCTGCTGTTTTCACACTGACCCACGTGGGCCTGGTCCCCTGTGGGCTGCACCGCTGGCCAGCAGTGCAGGGAGGTTTGAGGAGAGGTCAGAGGGCGGGAAGGGGAGCAATGGCGTCGTGCCTGTGGGGCCTGTCCCGGGTCCGCAGACTCACCTCCAGAAGTGGTAGAACAGCAGCGGCACGTTCAGCCCCAGGGTGAGCCACTGCTGCGCGCACAGGAACATGACACAGAAGAGGCTGTGGATGGAGTACTCGGGCAGCACCAGCTGGGGAGAGCAAACATGCAGTCAGCGGGCAGCACGCCACCCAGGGGGACACGGTTCTGGAGAGCCCACTGCCCTCGGGCTACGTCGGAGGGAAGAGAAGCCGCAGTTGCCCAGCGGGCGCAGGGAGGGAAAGGCCGCTCAGCACAGGGAGAGCACTGGGCCGGGCAGCTGCACGCTGAGGCCGACTGCGGGAGGAACCAGCAGGCGTGGCCAGGGCGGGAGCGTGTCTCCGTACTAGCATGTGCATCCACGTGGAACGGATCACGTGATACACATGGGGGACACGTGGGGCCCCACAGCCACAGGCTTCTTCACCAAGGAGCCACAGAGGGAAAGTAACAGGAAAAGTCCTGTGTCTGTATTAAACACGTGTAGTTTTCCTCCTGTCGTTCCCTACACAATGTAGCTGGGTAACTTCACCCTGCATTTGACAGCGATGAGATCTACAGAGGCCGTGCTGTGGGCAGGAGGAAGTGCACGTGTGACACGCACACACTGGGTGTTTTCCATAAGGGACTCGGGCATCCGTGTACCCTGCCTACCCACCAGGCTCCTGGACCCGTCCTCGTAGACCCAAGGCACAGCCGCGCGGCACTTCGCGTCTACACACACACGGGCACGGGGGTTGGAAACACAGCGTCCATGTGCTGATCAGACCACCATGCACGCTCAGTGCCTCCCTCGAGGTGGAACCACCTTCACAGCCATCTCAGCCTCCTCCTTCCCACCCTGTCTTTCAGGTCTCAGGTCTCCTCGTGGGCCCCGGGCGTGGCCAGCTGCATAGAAGGGGCCAATGGCACCCAGAGGGACGAAGCCTGGGCCCTGGGTAGAGGCCCCTCTGCCTGCCTCTGCCAGTCCGCTGTACCCCACTTTCTGATCGGGTCTTAATCAAGCCCCGGGGCCAGCCCTCCCTGCCCCTCTCACAGCTGCTTTCAGCAGCGTCAAGGCACTGGGATTTCAAAAGCTCTGGGTGTCCTCGAACACCGGCTCGGAAAGCCACTTGGGAGGAGGTGAGAAGAAAGTGCTGTCCCCACCAACACAGCCAGATCCTCCCACCACGGGCCGCAGTTCACGGACATTTGATGTGCCCACCCCTTTCCCTCCTTCCTTGAACCTAGGGTGCAGGAGTGGGCATTATGCTCGGAACAGAGAGAGCAATTAGGTAGGGAAGGCACAGTGGGCAGGTTCCAGACCCAGAGGGCAAGGGCCAAGGGTCCCGGGAGCCCCCGGCCGGCAGCCTAGAGCAAGTATTTATGTCCAGCACTTTCCCCAGCAGGGGCACCCTGCATAAAGTCCACCGACAGCGGGGTACAGACGGGCTGAAGCCACAGGACCCGGCAGGACGAAGCCAGAAACTGCAGGGGTGAATGTCCTGCAGGTGGCATGGACGCTCAGGCCACTTCTGAGGGTCCTCAGCATCACCTCTCACTGAGGCCTGTGACTTAGTCAGTCTTTGCCTTGTGGACAGAAACGACAGGGAAGCAGAAGCTCCTTCCCACAATGACACCTGGCCGGAGACAGGCTGAGGCAAAGCACGTCCTCCTGGTCGGGGTTGTGGAGCAACCACAGGTGACAACTGCCAGGACACAGCCTCCCACCCAGGCCTGGCGCCTGGCTCCCCGCTCACCACATGCATGCCAGGCTGCCCTGGATTTCCTAAGAACCTGCTGTCTTCTGGGAGGGCACGTGTCGCAGCTCCACCCGGCTCCTTCCAGGGCTCTGGGCTTCCTCCCCTCAGAATGACACAAGAGTAGCCTGTGACCAGCCCCCAAGCAGTGCTAACTAACTGCTCGCTTCCACACAGTGAGGAAATCCTCAAAACGAGCAAGAGAGGGTGAGCCGCCCGTGAGAGGAGGTTTGACCCAGCGCATCCCCACGTAAAGAAAAAGTCTTTTCTCCTTTCGCTCATCTCAGTTGTTTCTTCCCTCTGAGCAATTTCTTTCCCTTTCACAATACCTATTGTACCTTTCCAGTTTTATTTACTCTTTCAGGTTCTTACACTAGGGACCTTGTTTTGAAAAATTGTTTTTAAAAACGAGTAAAAGTAAACATCTTTAGAGAAATTTAAAAAAAAGAAAATCATACAGTAGGTTTTTCTCCCACAAGGGTGTGAGTGGTACTGCCTGGGTAGGAACAGCTCTGATTAAGGAGCCGGATCCTCAGGCTCCAAGGTCGCCTGAGGGCAGCAGCTCCACTCCTCCGTCTGCGATGGGGACCCAAGAATCGCATCTGTCCCAGGTGTTAGGAGTGGTCGGGGAGCTCATGTGTGAGTCCCTGGCACCGGGTACCGCCCCATAAACAGGTTCCCTGTGACCTGCTCGGTCCCTACAGTCCCTGTCAGCTCAAAAGTCCCAAGTGCTCTGGGGAGAGTGGCCATTAGCCCCTCGGGAGTCATACTGACAGGTCTTCCCTCGCCTTCGCCAGGCCAGGCCCAGAGCTTGCACAGTTCTCCCCTCCCCCACGCATGTCTGCCCCCAGAATGCTGTAGTCCAGGGGAAACTGATCAGCCCACGTTTCCACAGTTGCTGTCCTGCAGCGGTGCAGTTTGTCCCTGAGGCCCCCAGGAGTTCAGTCCCCACCGTCTTGTGCTAAAAAGCCACAGATGGCACTGACTGCAGAGGTCAGAGCGGGGCGTGGGGAGGACTCCCCTCCTGCTCCTGTCTCTCCTCCCGCTCCTCCTCCTCCCTATCCTTCTCCTACCACCTCAGTGCCCGCCCTCCTAGGGACCACCCCCACCCAGCTAGTCCCACTCTGTAGATAAAGCAGGTGGTGGTGGCACCCTGGCCTGACCTCCCGACTCCTCCTCTACCCAAACTCTCCTAGATGGCTCTAAATTTAACCCATTCATCCCAGGAGTCCTGAACTGTTGTCCAGAGGGCTGCCTCCCTATCTGAGTTCACTTCAAACAGTCCTAGCCAGGGGCCTCTGCTCACACACATTTTTTTTTTTTACCGGGAATCGAACTCAGGACCTGCCTTGCTTGCCAGGCAGGCACTTGTGCTGCTTGCTGAGCTGTATCCCCGGCCCCTGAGCAGACACATTCTCTGTGTCACAGACCAGGGAAAAGTCACATTCAAACCTGAGGAACCAAGCTCAGGGTCCCCAAGCACCAGGCCAGGACTCCACGCTGGTAAGGAGCCAGTGAGAGCTCTTCCCATCTCCCAGAAGCCAGGCAAGGGGCCCACGTGGCAGCAATGGTGACAGTGACCGCCCCAGCTCGGTGCCTAGAGCAGCACTGCCTGGTCCCAGGAGTCCTGGCAGCACCCTAGGGGAGAGGCATGGCTGTGACACACACTGATGGCACAGGGGACAAGGACAGGGATGGCAGGACAGCTGCCCTAGGCCACACAGTAGCCAGTAACTCAGCCGGGACAGTCACCGTCCTCCGGCTCCACAGCAGGTGCAGGTCACGGAGATGGACACAGTCACTCGCACCATGCGGGGGTGAGGCACTCAGAGCTGTAGGTCTGCGTGATGCCGGAACCAGGCAGACTCCGCTGTGACAATCAGAACCCCCTGTGGGTCTCACAAGTAGACGTTGTTTCCCCAGATGGTTCCTCAATGAGACCAGAGATGAGTTCTGGCTTAAACAACCATCCGCGGGGGGAAGGGGTGTGTCCCACAATGTATGCACCGCCCCAGGTGAATCTGCTGTGTCCAGAACGCAGAACCAGCACGGTCAGGAGGGTATGGCAGGGGACGTGGAGTGCGCTGGGCCTTCCAGAGGGTGAGGCGCTTCGCCGAGGCACTGAGATCCTCCTGGGGCCCGTCACACAGCGCACTGCTGGGTCACACATCTCCGTGGACAACCTGGAAGTGTGGCAATCTCAGCTGAAGCTCTGAGCTGTCACTGGTTACCAGAGCAACCCAGGATGAGTATATGCAAGAGCTGAAGTGTTCTATTTTAAAAATACCCAGCTGATGATCAGAGAGCCATGTATTAGGAACCAAATAATAAGGTACACACGAAAATTCTTGCCAAGATGAGCGTTTTCTCAAAGTGGAAATAGTTCAACCTACAAAGAATATTTTGACCCTGGCAGCAAAAAGATTTCCTCTGAGTCCCCAGAGTCTGATTATCTCCTGCATCTTCGCAAATGATGGAATTGAAGGTGTCCCTTTCCCCCTGGTTTCCGCCACCTCCTGCTGCACTGCCAGCTCCTGCGGCTCTTCCAGCCTCACACACACACACACACACACACACACACACACACACACACACATGGTGCACGCCAAGTGTGAGACACCCCACCTGGGACCTGAAAGAGGGAGACTGAGTGACACCACCTCATCTTTGGGGAGAGGACAGCTCAGGAGGAAAGGGGAGAGACACAAATACCATGACGTGAGACCACTGCTGTGACCGCAGGGTCCCGAAAGGCAGTTCCCAAAGCTGCAGCCCATGAGAACTGTGTCGTAGACCACAACAAAACAGTGGACTTCCAAGCCACTGAGGATGTCTGCATGGGCACGCGCACCAGCTATTACATGCTGAGCATGCGTGGCCAGGGTGCTGCCAGGGACTGAGGCGAGAGGAAGTTTCCTCTTCTGCTGCAGTGGTCCTGAGACTCCATTCAAGAGCCCAGCCTATCTCAGGGGCCACGCGGCCCAGTGGGAGGTGGCTGCAGGGCTGGACCAGGTTCAGGCAGGTGAAGCAGGGCCTCAGCCAGACGGCCAAGGCCCAGCAGGCCAGGCCAGGCCCAGGGAACCCCACAGAGCAGCTAGGCAGGATGAGTCAGGAGAATCGCGATGAATGGATCAGCAGGGAAGAAAACTGCTGGTTCAAGGGGTAAAAAGATGAAAAATGTAAGTTGGTAGGCTCGGAAATGAAGAGGAAAGAGATGAAGAAACATTGTTTCACATGTTCAAATACTGCTTTGTCTCACAGCCGGCTGTAGGTGGCTCATAATGCTTGCTAATTAAGCACGACATTTGTCTCGGACAGCTATATTTAGAGTACCTAAGAGCACAGTTAATGCATTTGTGTTTCAAAACACTTC